AGAGAAGTCCAAAGGAAGATGCAGGATGAAAATGATGCGAGCTTTCTGGGGCTTTTTCAGAACATACTGCACATCTCACGTCCCACAGCCCCCCAGCCTGTTTTAAAAGAGCCCTTAGAAGAGAAATAAATGGCTGTTCCTTGTGGCCTGGGAGAATAACTCATCTCTCAGGATTCTTGTGCAGGAGGCGTCTCTTGATTGTGGACCATGGTCCTCAGTGTGAATATCCCATGAAGAAGGTGGGATATTCCTCCAAGCAGAGGAAGAGGGGCTGGGAGGAGTGAGGAGACAGTGAGCCAAGTATCGACTGAGCCAGACACAGCATCACTTAGGTATGCACCTTGAAAGGAGCCATCGATTCCTCAGAACTGCTGTTACTAAAGGCATCTTTACAGTCAGGTCTTGGAACAGTTTTCAGGATTTATATTACATGAAGCCACAAGAGAGACTTGAACCAAATTGTAAAGGTAAAATTAAAAAAAAACGTGAAGAGATCTGCAGCATTCAAAGATTAGGAGGAGTCTCTCTTGATCTCTGGTATAGTGTAAAACTTTCATTTATTTATTTTTTCATTTATATAAATTCAAAAGGATCAGACTTACCCACTGCAAATCTGATGCTAATCTATAAATATAATGCCATAATCTGGTAAACATGAGCTTCAAAAAGTTCATGAAAAACTTGTATTACTATTTAATTCTATTTTTCCATGAACTTTTTGAATTACTGTTGTACATCCCTAAATCCTAGCCTCACTAAGGCCTCTTGGAAAAGGTGGCTTTCTTTGTCAAGCCAGGGGAATTCCATAGTTATCATTATTACCAAGTTAGGAGAGACTATTTCAGTCAGCAGAGATCACATCAAGAAGGTGATTATAGAGTATTGTTCTCTGTGTACTTGTCCCTGACTTCAAGAACACCATAATTTAAAGGGGTTTCTATAATTTAAAAGAGATGAATGGTTCAGCAAAGATAGTTCTTAATTCCAAAATGCATAAGTTAATGTAAACTGTATCAGCAACTAAAGATAATTAAAAAAAAGAGTTGAACTGAGGTGCTTAGCTCTTCCAGAATCAGGTGAATTATACTATATCAAAAGATTTTACATCCATATTCCTGAATAAATATAAATGATGAAATGGATGTTAAGAATGAAATTGAAATTAGTTTTGATCAGCCTGATAAAAACTCTCAGGTTGATAAAAACTAATTTCAATAAAAATTAATTGAATTTGAGTTTCCATTACTCAACTATAGTAAAGTGTTAAAAAATTTCCATCCACAAAAAAATGCAGTGATCCTTAGAATGCAGATTATAATATTTTATTTTCAAACAGCAGAGATGGATTGTGCTTCACTATATCCACAGTCTTTCTCCCAGGTATCTACTGGCTAATTAGAGATCCTGGAGAGGAAGGGAAGGTATAAGATGCTTTCTGAGGCTTTGGAAACTGTTTGCCTGTGAGTAAACTTAAGATGATTACTGGGAATCTCAGGTTTTTCTCATGAGCACAAATATTAAACCAACTAATTTACAAAATCTAACTAAAACACTGGAAAAAATAAGAAACCCCAACCCCCAAAAAAGAATGAATTCCTTTGTGTCCTTCAGTTTTGACAGAGTGGTATTGTGTGACTCAGCCTTTGCAAAAGACACCGCAGATCGATGAGGAACTAGTTTAGAACTGGAATGTTAGGCTTTGATCAAAGCTCTAAGAGACAAACAAGCCAGATGGATTTGATGCCAGGCAAAGGATGTGTTTGCTGATCTACATTTGGGGTTAGAAACGTCATGTCCAGTGAGCTTGGGTGAAAGGCACTTTTAAAAGCTCTATTGTTTGAGGCTGGGGACAGAGAGCTGGTAGGGGAAGTGAAAAACGAGGTATTAGAGTAATATAAGGGCACTTCAAAAAATCTGTGGAAAAATATAATTAAAAGATAACACAAATCCTTCCAAGAACTTTTTGAAGACCTCTTCATATTATCCCATACCTCATTTTTCACATCCCAGGGAAAACTCACCTGAGTTTTCTTGTTTGTTTTGGGGTTTAATATAAGCATATCCCAAATATTGCATGGGATATACTTATGGAAAAAAATTGCTGTCATATATTTACTTGCTAAATCTGACAACCCTAGCTGAGGACCCAGAACCAAAGGAAAGCAGAATCCCTCCAAGGGATTCCAGTGAGTCAGAAGCTCAGCATATTGAGAGTCTAGGGTCATTTTAAATTAAAGAGAATGGAAAGTAAGAAAATAAATAGATTAAATATGGCCGCAAGTTATTTGCAGCTCCTTCCATCAAGTGGTGGAGTCTATTTCCCTATTCTTTGAATCTGGGCTGGCCCTGTGACTTGTTTTAGCTAATGGAATGCAGTGTAGACAATGCAGAACTTCCCAGCCTAGCCTCAGGGTGTCTGGCCGCTTCCAGTCTTACCCCCAGAAACCCCAGGACTACCATGGCATGAAGAATCCTAGGGTAAAAGACCAGGTGTAGAGAAAGGCTCAGGTGTCCTGGCCTTCCAGCCATCCCAGACAAGAACCCCAAACACACAAGAGAATCCATCTTAAATACACCCTCAGTCAAAACAGTAGCTGACTGCAGCCTCATACATGAGACCAAGTGAGACAGCTGATGCAGACAGGAACCTAGAACTATGAGAGAAAATACTGCTTTTTCAGGAAAGGTAAAGAGAAAGGTAGGAATGGGCTGGCTGGTTAGCTAAGTTGTTAGAGCACAGCCTTATAACACCCAGGTCACAGGTGTGGGCCTGCCAGCCACCCAAAAGAAAAAAAAAAAGAGGGAGAGAGAGAAAGTTAGGAAGAGGGATTCCTGGATTGCACTGTCACTCAAATAGATGGCCAGCCAGCATCTCATCTAACTCCAGAGAGAGTATGTTGGCACTGATGGCTTAAAGTATGCAAGTGAACGTTCGGTCTCACTGGGTAAAGGGTAAACTAGAGAGAAAGGATTGGGAATGATCAAGACAACAACAATTAGGAGAACTTTAAACCTGAGCTAAAGAAAAATAAAGTGATAGTATATATCTAATGCTCACCTCTGCTTTGTGCAGGGGAAATCTTTAGATCTTTTCTTATTAAGGCAAAAATAATGTAGAAGCATTGTGACTTTATTCACTGTCTACGGTGCTGGGTTTAAATATTTGGTTCTGCCTCTCACCAGCTTTTGGAGATGTCACCATGGTTTCTAAAATAAGCCTATCATTTGTGCATGTGTGTGTACGTGTGTGTGTACGTGTGTGTATGCACATATAGGAGGCAAGCAGACCCGTTGCTTATGCAAGTGTTTCCCAAAATGGAATGCTTTTGACTGCAGCAGGTAGAATGGTCAGTAGGAGATGGAATGATGCACTCCCCTGACTCAGCACCCAAAACACACCTTACCTACCAAGGTTTTCTAGGACAGACAGGCTTGGGATAATCCATCCAGCCTGCAAGGGGTAAAGAAATCCTCTAATGACCACCATCCTGCTTTAACAGCATTTCCTTTTTGTAAACCACTTTTTCCACCAAAATTCAGGCCAAGAGTTCAAGCAGACTCTTCACAATGAGAAGGTATTAAAGAAGCAGCAAGGGGAGTTTAATGTGATTGACAGTCTAATACCTACCTTACAGGGTCATTGTAAAGATTAAATGTAAAGACTAAATGATAGGGTGTGTTTGGTATAAGCATTTGGCATACATGGTAACTATGCTATCTATTTGTGGCTTTATGAGAGAACTAAAACAAATACATATATCTGTTTTAAATGTATTTGTGCACATGATCATATATTTTTTCTTTAGCCTGCAATTGCCGGACAACAGTGACTATATTTTATTTGTGTGTGTGTGCCAGTCTATAATAGGCAGTTTCTGTTATGCGCTCCATGAATGTTTGTTGAATGAATGAATGAATGGAATAAGACACATTTGCTGAATTGTATAAAAATGGGAGCTAAAAGGATGTTTACTAATAGGCTTACTATTGACAGCCTGAATTGGGGCACAAAGAGAGTAGGCCACAGGCTCACTGTCAGGGCATAAAAGAAAGTCTTCCAGGATCTCCATGTACCTAGGTCCAGCAGAGTTAGACTCTTCCATCCCTCCCTTAAAAATAGCTGTGCCAGGCAGATTTTTTGTTCTCCTTTATTCCTGCTCTTTATTCCTAGAAAGACTATAAACATGAAAAGCTGAATGTAATGGCCAATATATGGTATTCAGCACATGTGTTTATGCTCCAAAACAGCTTTCAGAGACAGATGTTATAGTGTCGTGCTACTTCCAGCAAATGATGTAACACCAAATTAGAAATCCAGTTAGGAGGTGGTCTGGGAGGTGAGTATGGCCAGCCACAGAGGATCCAACTGTACCAGGCATTTTCAAAGAAAATAAAATGTGATTTGGGCTGAAAAGATCAGTGAGACTCAAACAGCAAAAAAATCAGAAACTGGAAAGATGCAAAAAATTATATTCGTTAATCTTCAGGATGATTAACTGTGAATATCGATTAGGTGCCTGATAATTTAATTACTAAATTAAATTATTAACCAGATAATTTACAAATAAAAGCTCTACAAAAATAAAGCACATTATGCCAGGCCACATTTGTTTTTGTCCTTTATTTTTAAAGTTAATTATTTTTAAGTTAATTAGCAAAAAAAAAATAGCCTGTAAAGAACTCGATGTGAAAATTATTTCTATTAACACATTTGTTTTTGTCCTTTATTTTTAAAGTTAATTATTTTTAAGTTAATTAGCAAAAAAAAATAGCCTGTAAAGAACTCGATGTGAAAATTATTTCTATTAACTTCTTGGTTACAATGGCCCATTTATCAGAGGCCTGCAACCCCAGCTGCCTCAGACAAGCATGGAAGGAGTCAGCTAAAAGTCAGAGAGTATTTTTTCCATTCTGAAGATAGCCTGGATGGTAGTCAGCTTAGAACAAGCAATCGATTTCATGGATAAGTGATCCTTGGTGAGTTCACTGTGCCTACTCACCGTGGTCAAGGATGTATTTCACGATCTCCCCACTGCCGGTTTTAGCTGCGTAGTGAAGGAGTGAACAGTGGTCTGGTCCCTGAATTAGCAGACTGCCTCCATTTTTATAGCTTTCTATCAGCTGAAAGAGAGACATACAGAAGAAGCTTAGGCAGAATCCGGAACGAGGATAACAGCGAACCAGTAATAACATAAGAGTAATGTAGCAAACCACAAATGTTCCCAGCCCCAGAGGATACAGAGAAAGTCAAAGAGATGAAGGAGCATTCGGAGACTGACTGCGTTATTACTCAAAGAGATGGCCGGTGTCTCACCTAACTCCAGAGAGGGTCTGTGGGTATCAAACAGCCTAAGGAAATTGAAACGTGCACTTTTTTCTTTTCTTTTCTAAGCGCTGGTCTCTGTCCCAAGGGAGTGAGAGATGGGATGACAGCAACAGCCGCCCTATGCTGGCTCAGCCTTCTGCAGCATGAAAGAAGCAGGAATATCTGTGTCTGGCAGCTAAGCTCCTTTCCTGTGTCCCTTAGTTTTCCTTCCATCCCCAAGGGAGTGAGAGATGGGATGACAGCAACAGCCGCCCTATGCTGGCTCAGCCTTCTGCAACATGAAAGAAGCAGGAATATCTGTGTCTGGCAGCTAAGCTCCTTTCCTGTGTCCCTTAGTTTTCCTTCCATAGCTATTGAACCTAACTACCAAATAGAAAGCTGCTTCTCGTGTTCCTGAGTAAGATCGCTGTACATATGTGCACACACACACGCACATGTGCACACACACACGCACACATGGCTGGCTCCCTTTTTCATCCAGGCCTGCCTCCCAGCCTGTGTGTCTTCTGTTAATCACCCAACACATACCTAGCAAGACTAGAGATGATCCACAGGATGAGAACCAAAGTTTATCAGCAAATGTAGACGTCCCTATCTGAGAAAAGACTGGAAAAAAACCTGTAACTTTGCAGCCTGAGAATAAGGTGGTTAAATGCGGAGATAGTCTAAATTCATGAAATACTGAACATTACAGAAAGTGAAATGGGTCTCTGTTCCCCAAACTTGGAATATCAGGACAAGAAGAGCCTTTGCGAGGCTTCTAATAGGTAGTTTTAGGACAAATAAGAATCAAATAACCTAACAGGTAATAAGCAAATGGAATGTGTTTTCTCTCAAGAAGTTAGATGGCACAACATTATAAATAATCAAACGTCTCATAAGGTGAAAGAGGGTAAACTAAGAGTTTGCCCTCATTCAAATACCTCCGTAGAATGGTCATGTGCCAGATGCCAGGCAAACAAAGCGGAACACGACTCAGTCACTGGCCTCGAAGCCCTCACAATCCATGGGGAAGACAGATGTGTAAAGAATTGTACAGGAATGAAGAGGACACCATGAGGTTATCAGAGGGCACCAGGGATGCGTAAAGCAGGGTGTGGGACATAGGAGTCCTGGGACATAAACCAAAAGGCGTAGCTGAATGGAGGCAAGAAACATATGGGGACTTTCATCCCTAAACCGTGGGGCAGGAGGACAGGAAGAAGGAGCTAACAGTTTTCCACCACAATCTAAAAGAGAACACTGCTCTGTTCAACTTTACTGTCTCATAATGACTCTCCCTTTCTTTGTTGGCAAATCCACAAAGGATAACAACACTGACCCGGTCAGATCAAATCGGGACCAGGTGCCTTGATCCTGCCCTTCTGTGGGGTTTTCAGACACCATGAACATTAGGCAGTCCATGGCATCTCATGCAGCTGGCTGTGCAGGGTCTGTTCCTGACAGCCTTCACACCGGGGTTCCTGTGATCTCCTGTCCTGTCGTCTCAGGTGCTCGCTCCCCCGCCCTTTCCTCTTCCCCTGTCCCCCCTCCCACACACGTACATACAATCTGTTCAATATTTAATATGCATTATGCTTTCTACACAGAAGAAAGAAATGAAAGAAGATGGAGAAGAGGAGAAAGAGGAAAGAAAAATACTTGGGAATGGGAAGAAAAGGAGGAAAAAATGTAAGAAAAAGGGAAAAGACTGAAAAAGAAAAACCCTAACCAAAGCACCTGTATTTCCTCTCTCAGTAAATAAGGTGTTATTAAGTCATTTCTCGTGACAGAGAATGTAATAAGACTATAGTCTAGATACAGTGGTTTCCCATATTTCAACTGACTCTCTATTAAGTACAAAAAAAAAAAAAAAAAGCGTGGTAATAACCCAGGGACTCAGGAAATTGAGGCCTAAACTAAAAGCATACAGAAAGTCAAATGAAAAGGTTTTAAATGTACAGTGCTTTGCAAAATTTTCTGGCATAGAAGCTCTCCAAGGGCAGGGGTCAGCCTTACTCGTGTCTTTACTTTCCGCAGAATCTAATGTAAGTCCTTGCGGGGAGTACAGAATGGTGTGGTTCAATCCACTGCTGGGAACTGGCACTGAACACACAGGTATGCTGCTGAGAGGGCACTTTTCTGGGTAACCATTCCTGCTAGTACTAGGATCTGGACAGTGGCACAGGCACCAGTTTTCAATCTTCTCACCACTTGTTTTCCACTAGTAACCTGTTCAACGTGTAGCACAGCGTTCCTCGGTTTATTCAACAGATGTGCTTCAAAAAACTGTGTACAAGGATAGTACTTCTCAGCTTTAAGGCTTTTGGTTTCTCAATATGTGATGGCAACTTACTACACAGGCTGAGGAGGAGGGACAGCCACCACTGTTAGGCAGATGCCATTAATAAAGAGCAGACCAATGTCACTGGGGGTTAGGTAGGGACATAAGGGCAGCCATAAGTCCTGATGCCTGAAAATAACATGGGACCAAATACAGCTTTTAAAATATTCATAGACTATATTAAAATAACAAATATTTGTATCTCCACCATGTTTAGCTGTTAAAAAACCCAGATTAAAACTATAATAATATTAACAAAATAGTTTACATTTTAGAGCCCCTTCTACATAATAGGAGGAACAGTCTTGAGAGCTTTATATATATTTTATATTCAATCCTCATGACAAATCAAAGAGAGAGGTAATATTATTGTCCCATTTTACAGATGAAGAAACTGAGGCACAGAGAGAATTAAATAATTGCAGAAAATCACACATACAGTAAATGGCAGAGCCAAGATCTGAACTCAGGTAGTCTGACTTCAGAATTTACATTTACTCTCAAGGAAGTGGTAACCACTTCCTTCTTTCTGAACTAAATTCACCAGAAATCATAAGCACAAATTAAAATGTTCAAAGTAGATCAGATCAGATCAGAGAGTATCTTTTTTGGTTAACTATGATCTCCAAAATATAAAATTATAGTAATGAAAGATGTAAGCTCTGGCCTGAAGAATGCATTTCTACGTGTTGTCCAGGGAATTCTTACAGATGCCTTCATTTCAATAACTGTTTGAAAAAGTATTTAAATTCTTCAAATGTCAGCTTCCAGACAGCAGGAATCTGGGTGCTGTGTGCACTGCATCCTGGGGACATGCAGTCCGTTTTAACCAATTCAGGCAAATACCACGGTGCTCTTGCACAAGCCCTTTGCAGTTAGGCAATGCAGAGATGTTGTGAAGGCTCTTCTCTCCCTCTCTGTCTGTTCTCAATAGGGCATCCTTCCTCCTTCTACTCAGCCATTGCAGGCAGGGGAATGGTAAATGATATATAGGATCATGAAAATTTGGAAAGGAATGATATTGATTTAAAGTTCTTAAAGAATCACTAAAGTTTTGGTAGGAGGATATCTTACCTTCATAAGATCACCAGCTATTACTGCCTGCAAAATTGCTGTGAAAAACAAAAGAGAGATGTCCCATTAGTAGAAGACCCTCTCATATAAAAATGTTACAAAGAGTTGGATCATATTTTGGAGAAATAATCTACATGTGGGGCAGGACACAGGGAAGGAAAAAATCTTGGCCAAACAGACTAAGGCCCCCTCTTTAGCCCTTCCCTACCCAGGCACCCATCCCACACATCATTCTAGAGCCTACATATGACCCCTCCAGCCCTGGTACAGCAAAGACAACATGAAAGTTGGAGTCACACAGACTGGGGTTAAATCTTAGCTCTGAAACTTCAAAACTGTGGGCATTGGGTGAATCATTTGACCCCTCTGAGCCTCAGTTTCCACATCTGTGAAAGAGTAAGTCTAAACCTTGTGGTGTGGTTGACAGGATTTATAAAGTCCTATGAATGTTCCTGACCCAGCCACTGATGCAGAGCAGGCGCCTGGTTGACAGGATTTATAAAGTCCTATGAATGTTCCTGACCCAGCCACTGATGCAGAGCAGGCCATCATGAGGCCATCATGATGGTGTCTGCTCCCTTCTTTCCAATTCCTTCTATTTTGCTCTCTTTGGGGCTCAAGAAATCACCAGTGTTTTTGTCTTTATGTTTTGTAATGATAAATAAACCCCTACTGCTATGTATGTTAAGAGGACTAGTGGTAGCAAAGAGGAAACACGTCTATTTTAATTGTGTTCTAGAGAAAATAACCATGTGTTTGACCTCTAATTCACTGATAACTGATGGAAAGTAGCCTAACGGTCTTAGGCAGCTTAAACTACTTGTAAGAATATGTAGCCTTAGGGGAAAACTAGTAAATATCTAACGACTTATGCATGTCATGTAGGGTGTAGAAGAGGAATTACGAAAAAATGACTGATAAAAGGGGAAAAGAACATATGAGGGTCCAATGACAATTACAGTTCCTAAAAGAAACTATTGGCATCAGGTTGGAAATGGTCCTTTTAGAAAAACAAATACTTCGATTACGAAACTACTCAAAATATAGATTATATCAAGGCTTTAAAAAATCACAATGTTTTAGAAGAAAATAATTTATTTTGCAAAGTAACATTTTATTCTTCTTGTTTGAGTAGTCTCTCCTATGCAGCACCCAAAAGTGCAGAATCACGCATCAAAGTACATGGGGCCTCTGCCTGTCAAGAGCAAAGCCCTCACAGCTTTTATACTGAGCATCACAAGTCCTGGGTGGGCAGATGCAAAGGATCACAGGCATGCTAAACTCGCTCATGGGCCCAGAGCTGAGCATCTTCCCTTTGACCAATGCAGAAGCCATGAAAACCTACGGGAATGATGAGGACACTTGAATGCAGGAGGAAGGTGGCTGCCTTAGAAAGGAGGGAAGAACAGAGAAAAATGGAGAACAGGAAAAGGGGGGAGGAAAGGTTCCTCTCCATAACAAGCTGCAAGCAATACACTCTTTTCACCTCCCTGTGAATCCTAGCACAATGCTTTGCACATTGTAGATACACAGTGATTAGTTGTTGAACTGACTGAAAAGAAAGCGAAGAGAGAAAAGAAGTAAGAAGGAAAAAGATGAAAATAACAGAAAGGGAATCAATAAAATGTTATGAGTCAAATGAACCTAAATAAACATCATGTCTCACTCTTCATTTTATAAACAGTGACACTGGGGGTTGGAGTAAAGTGACTTGGGGCACAGACACAGGAGCAGCTCAATCAGCACCATAATGTGGATCCCTGTGTCCAGTCCAGGCCTTTGTCCAGTGCACTCAGTGAGCTCACAGTGCACAGAGCTCTGCTAGACTCTGGGAGGCCTCTAGGAGGTGAAAGAAAATACAGATCCTCAGGTCTGTAGTGTTGTAAAAAAGGCGCTGGACTGGAGTCTAATTCTAATCCCTATAATTTGCTGGACACAAACACATAAGAAGTTATTTAATCTTTTTGAACCAATTTTCTCATTGCAAATGAGGTTAATAGCTACAATGCTCCCCTCTCTGTAGCGAGGATAAAGTTTTAGAAAGTGCTTTATAAATAGATGTGTTACATATACGGAACGGGTACTTTTAGTACTTTTATGACTGCACATAAGTACATGAAAAAGACACATGGACACTGCAGAAGGAGCCTACCAATAAGGGTAAAATTGGCATGTGATGCTGAGCAGACCCATCTCTGTTAATATAGCACCTATAAGATGAGAGGCCTGATACAGGTGTGAATGCGATGGTGTTTAACCCCAAGACATAAATTCTATATCAGAGGTCAGGGAAGGGGAGGCCGAAGAAAGTATTAGCAATCTGTCCTCAGCAGGTCTGGGAGAACAAATCAGTCTGGGCTTTTACATTACAGGATGTTCTCTTGGCTGCAGTAGAATATCCATATTAGGAAAGAAAAAAGTTTAGGAAAATTGCTTGAGGGAGCAGTTAATGAAAAGCCTCTTAACTCACACACACAAGTTCAAAACAGCAGCACTGTCTTTGTTTTCAAAACCATATTAAAACATTTCTCAGAATTTAAAAGTTAGGGGAAAAAAGGGAGAGAAAGAGAAAAACAGAGAAAGAAAGAAGAGAGGAGAGAGGAAAAAGAAAAATGAATTCATTAACTGAAAACAGTTGTGTAATAAAATCTGTTGTGTGTAAGCAATAAATCAAGATGATGAAAAAATTCCCCAGGACAAAATCTATTTAAGAATCATTAAAATAGGTAAATTAACAAAAATAGGAGAAGCTGGGCTAAAATGTATTAGCTAGGTGTGGAGTTCAAGGACGGCTTCTTAGAGGAAGTAAAGTTTAAGCCGACTCATCCAAGATAAGTGAAATTAATTAGCAAAGAAAGTTTGGAAAATCCTTGCAAGATGAAGGAAGGATATGAACAAAGACATAGAGATTGAAAGTCACAGTGTCTGAGGGAACCTGCAAAAAGATCTACATCATCACATCAGAAGAGGAGAGTGGTCCCTGGAAATGTACTGCAGAATTTCACAGGAACCATGCCAGTGAGTGCCTCCTATGCCAAGACGAGCACTTGGATTTTATTCTGCAGATGATGAGAAGCTATTGAAGAGTTAAAAGCAAATCAGAACAGCACATGAACGTCCTTAAGCATGCCAGTGTGATTCCACCCCTCCCCTTCTGGAAACACAGTTATGTCCTGCTCCTAGCTCCTTTTCTCCGTATTGCCCACATTATAGCCTCTTTCAACTTCTACTCCATCCATATCATTCACAAGCATGGTTATTTATGTTTGCTGGTTTCCAACAGCCTTCCAGTACATCACCACTGTGAATAGACAAAGGATCATATAACAGAATCATGACCACAAATAATTTCCAACTGTACTGGATATGGAAAGCATGGATATTTATTTTTAAGTCAAGCAATACACCCAAGGGTAGCTATTATACAAACATTATTAGGAACAAGGCTCACTTCTCTCTCCTGATTAATGTCCTTCCCTATGAACACTGTTGTGCAAGATTTCCTTTGCACAAAGAGAGCCTGAATCCATTAGTATTCGACTCCAGATAATAACCTTCTGAAAGATCAAACTTAAAAACAAATGAGTTGTTATGATTACAATATTATTCTTTATTATTTCTTGAGCTCTCAGCTTGCCTTCTAGCCTTTTCCAAAACTCCTTCACAGTAAGGAAACAATTGTCCAAAATTCAAAGAAGCCAGGGAAGTCAAATTTTTAATGGGACATAAAGGTTATTAAGTAGATGAATAATAAGTTTCCCGGACACATTAACTTACATAGTAAGACAGGAATGTAAGGGGGTAGAGCACTGAGAAATTTGTCATTTTTAGAGGTTAGGAGTTGAATCATTAATCCACATGAGATGGTTTATTTTTCCTTCAGTGCTAGGCTTTCAAATAAATTGCTGCTCAATACATACCCCAAGACTGAAAGCTGAAACTACGAGGTCAGGACTGCCAGAAGGGACCAGCTGTCTTCCTTCTCAGAGCCTCTTTCTTAGGCCTGGATTCCCAAGAGTCTGGATGTGCTCACACATCCATGTGTGAAAGGAAGAGATGACTTTTATCACAAGGAATCAGGAAAGAGGGAAGACAGCTCTATGACTTGAATGTCTGTGTCCCTCCAAAATTCAGGTTGAAACTTCATCTCCATTGTGGTGGCATTAAGAGATAGGGCCTTGTGGAAACAATTAAGTCATGAAGGCTCTGCCCTCATTAAAGAGATTAATGCCCTTGGAAAGCGACTTCAGAGAGCCACCTGCCCTTCCATCTCTTCCACTGTGTGAGGGCACAGAATTATCCCGTTCTGCTTTTCCACCATGTGAGGATGCAGCCAGAAGGCACCACCCTGGAAGCAGCGGGCAGGCCCTTACTAGACACAGAACCTGCAGGTGCCTTGATCTTGAACTTTCCAGGCTCCAGAACCATGAGAACTAAATTTCTATTATCTATGCATTATCCAGTCATGGTATTTTGTTACAGCAGCCGAAAGCACTAAGAGCCCCATCTGCTCCTGCTAGGCCAGGCCAGGCCCTGTTCCAGGTGGTGGGAATATAAGCAGTATGCAAAATAAATTTCATCCTCTCAGGGAGCTTACATTGTGGAAAGAAGTCCAAAATGAGATCTGACTTTACATAATTAGGAAGGGATATACTGCAATTGAATCTAGATTCAGACAGCCTGAGTTTAACTCCTGTGAGTACCATTCACCAGCTATGACCTTGGGCTTCAGTTTCCCCAATGGAAAAAATGAAGATTAGAAACAGCTCTTTTGAGGCTCTGCTTTAAAAATAAGCTCAAGGTACAGAGAACCTGACCATTACAGTCATCTGTGTAGAACACCATGGAGTACTGATTTTTTTTAACCCCATCATACAGAAAAAGAACCATTTTAGACTAATGCCTATTATGGTGCTAGAATTTGGCCTATGAGTACTTCTAAAGGGATAGTTTAAGGTAGTGATTATTGCTTTGCAGATGAAAATATTTAGGAATAAAAGAATACAGAACTTGGCAAAGCTACATGTATGTTTGTGAT